CTTGAATATTATTCTATGGTTCTTGCCAGCAGAATGAATTCCAGGAATGTTTTCACTACACGCTGTGCTCATTTGCAATGTCATTTAAAGTATTTCGGAGTTGCCTGCATATGGGCATGAATTCAATGGCTTCCAGAAGGACATTTCACTAGAATACTTTTTGTCCTTTTGACACACTGGTTAATATGCTCAAACAAGAGGGACATAAGCTTTCAATCCCTGTTACATTCTATTTATATTAGTTTATGAATAAAAGGACAGTGAACAGTACTGTGATACAAATTCTGCTGTGAGAAAGGCAACCCTACCAAAGGCAGGAAAATGGTACTAAATGTCTAGGATGCCTAACCCACGGTCCTGCTAGCTCTGCAGCACTCCTATGTCCAACACAGAAACACATGAAAAAGAAAGAAAAAAAAAAAAAAAAAGCCACCCTATATGGCGGTCAGTATAAGAAATCATCAAGATGGCAAAAATATAGCAATTACTGAAAATATCTTCTATGTAAGAAGGAAATTTGGCAAATTTTTAGTGTATCTTATTTTCTCCAGGGAAGATATAAAAGTCTCATTTACATTTGCTCCCATTAAAATGATTGTCTTAAAGCTAAATTTGCCATTTAGGTACAAAATTTGTTTATTTTAACAGTGTGCAACAAGAAAGAAAACTGCCAGCAATGATCTGAGTAAGCTCTCTTTGGCTGCAATATTCCTTCTTATTCATGTGAGTAAGGCTCTTTAATGATTAAGTTATAAGTGGTGAAAAAACATTAGGCTTGATAAAAAACTGGGTGCAAGTATTCTGCTCTAAAGTTACAGCCTTGACCAAGAATTCAGAGTCAATAACCATCTTCAGCAACCCGAGTCTGAGACCTAAATGGAGATGAGAAAGGAACATAAGAAGCAGGGCAAAAATGTATATTCCGTATATTAGTTTGATTATAGCAACATACAGGAGACTATACAAACATGAAAATAAACCTGGAAATTGTGTTGGTTTATAATGCAATCTTCTAAAAGTGTGAGTACAGTTCTTCACCTGCATTAAAAACAATAATACATTTTTTATATAAGCCCATTGTCTTGACACATAACAACTAAGATTAAAGTCTATGAAACAAATGTTAGAATATTGTATCTGATATATTGTCCTATTCTTCTATTAGTACAGGAATTTGACTGGCTAGTAACAAATCCCAGATACCTCCTGTTACATCTATATATTGTGAGACAGTGCTTCTGTTCTGAAAATCTCAGAAGCTGAGATAGCACACAGTTCGTTTATCACGGTCTACAAGTTGAACTTCTGACTTCTGAAGTTGACATCAGAGCTAGTACATTCATGAAGGCACTGAAGAGCCCTCATCTAATTCTATGTTGTCTCCAAAAAGCCTCATGATCTTTTTTTTAATAAACCACTCCTTTTCATAGAAGAGCCTCTCGAAAAAGTCCCTGAGGCCATCTTTATCATCCCCCTCACTTCAACTTCTGTATTTCCCCATACATGTTAAAAAAAATGAAAAATTAATTATTCTCATAAACTGACTTGCAGCACACAATACTCTTGACTTTGAGAGTTCTTCCAGGTTCTTCCAAAAGGGTAGTTTTTTCCAAGAAAAACACACTTCTGTTTTTTATTAAAAAAGTCACTGAACAAGCCTCTAAGGAGAAATGTGTAATCCTGTCAGATTTCACATGTGGCTTTCCTCTGTGTACTCTGTCTACAATGTTAGACTCATACAGGTCTTCTCTTATATTTTGTCTATATGGTGCATGCTTTTGGTGGGGTGTAGGGGAATCAGTTTACAGTATGCCCACCCTAAGATGGCCCCAAAGTCTTCTAGCACATCATCTAGAGCACTGTGACAGACAACAGAGACTGTCTGTAAAGGGTGTTCAGTTTTAGTTCACCCCTACACTGTTCTGATCTACTCTTTGGATGGTGTGGGCTCCATGTTGCAACTTCAGAAAGGAGGGGACCTCCTTGCTTCTTAAGCATCAGACCTCCTGAATTTCATATGGGAATTGTTACATAGCCTGGGTCTTTTGAAGAAGATTTTTTTCACGTGACTTCTCATTCTAAATAGTGTCACTTGGAAGATATTTAAAAAAAACCAGGGGAAGTCTCCAGGGAAGAAATCTGTAGACTCTTTTCTTTGACTCTGAATTCTTTTGCAAACTACTTAGTGCATGTTCAGCACACCCTGGACAGACATGAGTATTTTCTAGAGATTTAAAACAGAGGGAACTACCTTCAAATACACAGAGAAAACTAACATTGCTGCAATAAAACTAAGTTACTGCAGAGGCCGTATCCACAAGGAGATAAATTATTTTAAGCTCCACAGTAACAAAAGCTGCAATATGGTAAAATTATATTGCAGTAAGTCACTCACCCAGAAAAGTGAGTAGAGAGAATCTAAACGTACAGCATAAATTAAAACACCCTAGTCTTCATACACATGGGAATTTCTGATTGTAACCACTAGGCAGGGAGATGAGATACATATTCCTAAAGAATCATCTGTGTTTGAATGGCCTGGAACATAACAATGTTAATTAACATTAAAAAAATGGGCTTATTAGTTTGGAAAGTCAAACCACAGGTATTCATAAACAGCTGCAATATTTGATTTCCTACACAATTTTATGGAACTCAAGAGTTAAAAAAGAAAAAAAACCTTCTGAAGGTCAGAATTCCACCTTTTTCTTTTTCTATTAATGTGCTAGCTTCACTGGAAACAAACATGTTCCCCTTTTGCAGGATCTTCCTGTTAGTAACAGTTGCACATAAATAAAGTTTTCTAAACAAACATCTTATCTTTTTATGGAAGGAAGTCCATTAATAAGGAATTGACGTCCTTCCCTAAAAAGAAAAAAAATCAGTGCTAATTCTTTCCCATAAACTGAAGAAATAAACTTACACCCTGAGATTTTTTACTCTATTTTCACAGCAAACTGGCTAGTTTGCACGTAGATAAAATGGAACTGTTTGGTTTTCCTTATAAACAGTATCTCTGTTGCTACCTGGCCCCATAATATTAAACAATTAATCTCTTCCCTCATTTTTTGACTGCTTCATGAAACTTGTGCTTTATTTCAATTGTACTCCATGCATTCCGTTAAAACTACATGGCATCCTGTAAGCAATGTTCAGCCTGGAAGCTTCAGAAACACACTATAACTCTCTAATATTTTGACCTATGCCATCATTTTCAGAAACACGTCCTTTACTCAACAAATGCAGCCAAACACACTCTAGCACTTGTACTCATAATTTACTCTGCTTTTTGTTGGCGTTGTCAGCTACACAGGACATCACTTTTGCTCAAAAGGCACTTCATCATGGAAAATCCTCTGACACAACTTTCATTATTTCCCTTCTTCAAAATAGTTTTTCCTTCAGACTACGAAAATTTGAAGTTGACGCAGTACTGTATGCTACTTGCAATGAATAGAACACATACTTTTCTTCCAAAGGCTTCAGAAAACCAGCAGTTTAACCTATTTGCAACAATGATGAAAATAGAAATGTTAACATGTTTTAAGAGGGGTTACATTTTCAGCATTATTGTGCATCATAATTTAAAATCTCAGTGCCTCACTTCAGGGAGATCAGCTAAAGAGAATGGCAGAATAATGCAGTCTGTGATTACCATGCTTGTACAAATTTAGGAGTTATAATGCTATATTATTTTTTGTCCAAAATTACTATTTATCTTAAATACTTTAAATGTTTGACTCTGATGGATGCAAAAAAACCTCATAAAATATTCACAATAGGAATTTCAACAGGAATTTTTTAGGAAAAAAGTGCATCAAATGTTGCAAGAACACTGTTATTTCTCTTCAGCTGTGTGTGTAAATGAATTCTATTTCAGACACCTATTCCAGTTTTGAAAGACGAAACACTGCTCTGGTTCCAGTAATCACATTTAGATATCCTAAGAATGTGAAAAAAAAAAAAAATCCACAGTCCTATAAGAGTGTGCATCAAGTTTTCTTACACAATACTTCACTGGAGCAGGCATTTAACATATGTCTTAATGCAGATAAATAAAAAAGTTGCAGGCAGTGAGACTGAGCACTAGACTCCTCCTCCTCCTCTATGGTGAACTAAGATTCCTTCCTGACTCCATTTTGCACTAAGACAATTTGTTTTCCAAAGATCAGTCCACTGCAAAGGTGATGAGCCCTAAGCAGGTAAGAGTCAGTCCACATTACACAGCCTTGATGGTATTGGTTCCTTGCATTCCTATTTGGCATCCATATATAGCTTTACACACTGATTTTTGCAGTTTACATTTATAACGTAATATTCTTTGTTGCTGATGGAATCAGACTTTACATGCTTGCACATGTTTAGTAACATACATACCTGAGTGTCACTATAAAAGCGAGAGGAGTTTCGCCCCCATTTCTGTTTCATTCTTTGTAACTACTGCGGAACAGTAACCTTTTATAAAAGCAAAACCAGAGCACTGCTTTAAAAGGTCACACTGAACAACTCAGAAAACAGAACAGATACTCTGGTATCCCATGATAGCACTGGCAATAGGGACACAGGCAGTAGCGCACACACACGAGTATCTGGACAAAGCAGCACGTTGAAGGTTTTTGTCACTCAGTAGAACTGTCACCCATTCTCCAGGAATGCCCTTGCCAACAAGCATACTTAGTCGCCTTATACACTTATTTACTTAGTCACCTTTCCAGCTTTTCTGCCTTACTTTTAATTCACCCTCTTTCTTTTAGTTAATGCCTCACAAAACGTTTCTGATTTAGAAGGATTCTTGACGTGGGAGAAAGCTTGGGGCAGTCTCAATAATGATCAGTAAATATGTACACAACTCCAAGACTTTTGATAATTTTATTTTGTAAGATCAAGTTTTGGTCAGCTGTAGTTAGTGGCTAGCCAAAATATCTGGGAATGGCTTTAGATCTCATGATGGTACCCAGCACACCAGACAAAGAAGCCCATTCAGTGGCGTCAATGGTTACCTGTGCTGCTGTCTTTTCTTGACCTCTCACCTCCACGTTCGGCAACACTGGTGTCACAACTGGTGGAGGAGGTGCTCTGCGCTTTTTCACTTCTGGGTTTGCTGTCATTCCAGAGATGTTACCAAGGGACAGTGATGGACCCAGGCCACTGGAACGAGAATTCACCGAAGGGGAATTTGGTGCTGTGGAAAAACCCTGTAAATGGATTAACATCTTGGATTAACATCACTCTTTAAAAACAATGGGAAAGAAAGAAGAAAAACAAGACACATCTGGTTACCGTTTAAACAATGATATGAATAATCATGTATGTACCTCTGCCAAACCTGCTGAATTGCAAACTGTAACTTTTGGAAACTTCTAAAGGTCAAGTGGAACAAAGCTTACAGGCACTTTTAATAATACAGGAGGCACGATAAGCACCTACTGCGGTTTAACAGTAGTATTGATGGGAACACTACTGCTTGCTATTTAACTGCTATTTAAAATATAAGCTTCATCAAGACACATAATTACAGTTATACAAATGTATTTGCAGTGCATTTAAATTACAAGTATTACACACTTCTGGAAGCAAGATTTATTCTTAAATGAGAATGTTGTGTTAATAAAATGCTGTCAGCGTCCTAGGCTTGTCTATTTTCTTATCAATCTGCCTGATTTACCTTAGTCTTCACTGCAGATTTACACAAGAGATATTCTGCTACCAGTAAACTATTTCTAATTTACATGCAGAATCAAGCATAATCACTTACAATCTACCAAAACCAACGATTTAACTTGATGAAAAGAAGTTCTACTGACAGGCATCACCCTGGATTTTAAGAGGCCCAGATGAAAGGAGAAGCAAAAAACTTTTAAAATAATTCCTTAATGTTAAAAATTACTTTAGTTCTCATTGAAAACTTAATGAAATCAATGAAAAAATTTTATTGGATTTCAGATCAAGGTCTTAATGTATTATTATATTAATATACAAAGATATATGCAGTCATATAGTACTAAATCTACAAACATGAAAGACTAGTACACATGATTGCTTGAAAATGTGCATTTTGATTTTAGTTTTAACTCTTAAATTCAATACAATTTTTTTTAATTCTGCTAATAAAAATCTTGCAAAAACTTTTCCCTCAAAATCTGAGTTACCTTTTTATGTTTTTAATTAAGAAAACTTTTCATATTAAATTGAAGATTTTACTGTTTAATTAAGTTATGAGACTGTAACTTCTTCCCAGAAATATCATCTGTGGAAATCACCACTGATACCACTTCACCATGACCTGGAGCAGAATAGTTATTCTGGAAACACAGACTGATGAGAATGGTTGATAATGCTGTCGTTATCACAACAGAACATGCTACCACATTTGCAAAACTCACCCACCAAGGACACACAAAGCCTTCTGGTGGAATTTTGTCCAAAACCACAGAGTACATACTGGCAGGAAATAATGGCCACCACAAATGCCATAATTTTTGATTAATAAATAAAAAAATAATAATTATTTAAAAAGTAGCTCTTTGAACCTAAGTTCAACAATCTGGAAAGTGATGGAAAATGTTTTGCCTCAATTATACACCTCTCTCATCATTCTGGTGGATATCTGGATATCTGTAGGAGTGCAACTTGCAGTGAATTTGATTTGTGACATGGCATGATAATTCCTTTCTATGAATGCAAAGGGTAAGCTTAGGTAAAATTCAAAATATGGGACAGCAAGCTCAAAACCACAATTTTAGGATTGTTGAGGAAGCACTGATGAAGCATAACAGCTAAAAAACAGAGAAATGAATATATCTAATGAATGTATCTAATACAGGCTCCTGACTGCCTGGTAAAGTTCCAGGTAGATTCCTGTGAAAGCAACTGAAATGCAAACTGATTTGTGTCATCTTGCATTTACTACCCATGAAATAACCATCACTGACATAGGACGCTTTTGTTAAATTTTATGTTGCACATTGCATAGTACCTTTCACCTTGGAATGATATGTTTAGCACAAACAGGGCATGTTACCTGTCTAGAGTTTTACTGAAGGATTAAAGCAGTATTGGCCCCAACATTTTCATTACCAACTTCTCTGAACTGAATGGCATCAATAGCATCTTTTCCCTTCTAGTAAATGAAGAAAAAAGCTCAAAATGGAAGGTGGGGTTTAAAACATTAGGTCTAAATCTTATAAGAAATACAGCCTTTTCTTGGGCAGTGGAAAAAATAATGATCTCATCTGTAAGCTACAAGTTCTAAGTCATTCTCAGTGCATATTGTACCTGGCTTTATCAAATAAGATTTGTTTACTCTACAGAAATGACAGGGTTCACAGGGTAAAATACGAAGTACTCTCTTCTTTTGACATATTTTTATAAAACAACTGGACAAAATAATTTCAAAGTTCATTCTACAGGTATGCTTTAGTGACTGTATTAATTCTTTGCTTTTTCTTACTGGATGAAAAAGGTTAAGGAATTTCTAGTAAGAGACAAAGATGTATACAAGTAATAAAAACTCCCTAAGACTTCCCTAGTAGCACTACAAATACAGGGTACTGGTAAGAAGATGGGCCATAAGCAGTTTAAAATTAATATCCTATTCAATTCTATCTCAAGGTCTTGTGGTTGAAGAGCTACTAGAATCCTTTTCCAGGTAACAGATCATTGTAAAGGAATACAGTGATGAACAACTAAGCATTTTAAAGCTGGTTGGGTTTTCTTTTAAGTTTGGATTTCCTAACAGAAGATACAGGGGAAAAAATATAATACTCACATGACACTATAAATAGTTTAAAATAAAAAGACTTTAATGAAAGAAAAAAAAAAACCACTTTGGAAATTCATCTGTGTTCTCTTTTCCAAGTCCAGTCTTTATATAAAGCCCGTTATTCCCCTGCTAAGCATTTCAAGAATGCTCATGTAAAGACACTTCCCCTAAAATAAAAACTCACTGTGGCTTCCAAGGGAATGGAATGACAATAATTTCAAAGTAGTTTTGAAAGCCCTCTCATTCAGCAATAAGAGTTTTGTCTAACTGAAGGCAGACCTTCAAGCTCTCCCATGTGTGTAGCTCTTTTCCTTAGCTTTAAGAGGAAAAAAAACAACCTTGGACACAAAACACTGACACAAGTGGTTTTGGCATGGTTCATCTTTTGTTGTTAAACTAATCTAGAGGGACAATACCTAACCTAGATTATATTTTATGTTGTGTTAGATGCAGTGCAGTTTCTTTCCAAATCATGGGATTTTGGAGGTTTGGTTTTCAGGTAGTTTAGCAAGGCAACTATTAAGACCATGCAATATTAATCAAGCAAAGTTGCAGAGACTTGATATGTACATGCCAAATACTCCAACCATCTCTCATTTCTTGTTTTTCTAATTTCTTATCAGAAAACCAATTGAATTACTCAAATTACAGAAGTGTAAGTGAGGAAAGCCAAGCTCAAGAATTGCAGCCAAGGTTGCTGGCTAAAAAAGTCAGCCCTCATCCTCCGTTTCATTTGACAAACAGGTTAGCATGAATGTTCTGCTTAGAATCCAAATGAGTTCACCAAATCTGTTTCATAACAAAACCAAAGAAACAAAAAAAGAGGAAAAGGAAAAAAATATAAATAAATTCATAAGAAGGAAATTAATGGAAATTAATTATATAAAAAGCTTTTAAAAAAATGTCTCTTAACTTGTACAATCACAGTCTTTAGTAGACCACTAGTGTTAGAGCACTTTGCTAGCATTTCAAATAGCAATTAAGTAATGCAAACTAGCAAGAAACAATTCTGGTTTTTATTTTTCCTAAATTAAGTCAAAGCAAACCCAGAACAAAACCAGATACACCAGCACAGGTCAGTAGTCAGGCTAGACTCTAGTTAAGCAAGGGGTTGGAACATGTACTAAAGCACAACCATGGATGAAAGTTCATTTCAGTTCTGTGAAGTAGATTTTGGAAAGAGGCAAGAAACAGCTGCAATACCTACTTATGGTGCCCTCAGGTTTCACCATTGTTTCATGATAAACTTGCCAGCTAGTTTTTTCCCCTCATTACATTTCTGAAATCTATGGAATATTCTTTTTTGTTCTAATGTATCAGATGTTCTCCTTGGGGTTAAGCACAGTTTAATTTTAGGATTTTTTTTTTCTACTAGCTCTCTCTAATTGAAATTTAGGTCTCAAAGACGTTTTCGAAGGGTAAAGAGGGACTGTTAAAAAACCAGAAGTAACAAGGCTCGGAGTAACGTGGTGAGGTAGGCATACCAGTCCCTTTTTCAAAAGACACCAAACAGTCAGCTTTTTACAAGACCAGCAAAGTCCATAGCCTGCTGAACTCTACACATGACAGATTAAGTGCCTAAAGCAGAGGCCATTCTGCGTTCCAAGGTCATCAACCTAGAATGAAATTATAAAACATCTTTTTCAAACTACTCCCTTTTCAAAAATAAACAGAAGTTTTGATATCTTAGGAATACTTCTGAAAATTTTAATGTCATATTAATAAATGTATGATTAATCTATTAAAATATGACTGTACTGCTGTGAGAATTCCATTTTACAAAAATAGATGTGCATAAAAATGGAAGTCAGCTTATGTTTGTTTTCAAATGATATCCCTCATATATAACTCTCTTACTCAAAGCCTGTTGTTAGCATTTCCTTGATTTTCTGATGACACTAAGTGGTATTTAAAGGTCAGCAAGGAAGAGACTGCAGATTGCCTGTGAGAGTGATTTGACTTCCCGTTCCCTGTTCACACCGGTCAATAAAAATTTTTCAAAATGTCAAGTTCTTTTCTTGTGAGGTTCCTACAGCCAGGCCTTTCTTCCGCAGCTCTTTGCCAAAACTCACATATTTGAACTCCCAGTCTTGTTATGCAATTTCCTTCTCAGAAGTTTTTAAATCAAAAGTAATCAATTGAGCTGTTTTTAAGCACTCAAAGTACCAGATGTATCAGCAAAAAGTAAGGGTTTTATTTTTTCCAAAACAGAGACCAAAAAATAAAAGTATCATAAAGGATATAATTTTTTTGCAAGTGTACCATGGGTAAATAGGAAAGGTAAGATTTAAAGCAGGCAAACAAGCTCAGTGGGAGCAAAAACATTTATGCTTCTTGGACATTTAATCTCCATTAATGCAAACTTTTATTGTTTTTCTGAATGATACCACACCTGATTACAGCTGGCCATTTATAAAATCAGACAGGTTATGT